CTTGAGCTCCATGGAATCAAGCTACATCAAAAAGGTATGTATTCTATCTAGTTTTGTTATACTAGTACTTGTGATTGTATGCTAGTTAGGGTAATACCTTGGACACTTCAAGTTTGCATGTATAATAGAGAAAACATAGATCCAAGGTATTTAGGGTTGAATGTACACCATAGGAGTGTTAGAATGCTCAAAACCCAACAGACAGCAGGATCAAATTGGGGCGGTGGTGGCGGTGGATTTGTCGAAGTGTTGTTTTTCTTCTTGGTGGACTTCTTAGGAGCCATCTTTCTCTAAAATGATTCAAGTGGAAATGACGATAAGTCCTCTATAGTGGTCGAGAGTCAGGTATTATTGAGCAAGGTATATATCTTAGTCCTAATCGTATCATAACCTGATTTCTATAGTGTACTATCAGTGATCTATAATAAAGGTTTACTAGCATAAACAAGTAATCGTTGATTTTCAATGGTGAGGATTTGTAGTACGTGTATTGAAGTTGTGTAGTGTGATTATGCCATAAAATACTCCTATAGTATTTTAAATTTTATGTTTGGTTCTAGTGCTTCTCTTGTCTATAAGATGGGTAAGTTTTAGATTTGTTGCAACACCACAGTCACTCCCAAACACATGTTGGCCATATCTCGGATAAATATAGTTGATCAGGTTATATTTATCCCAGATATGATTACATAACTATCCAGGTTTAACCGTAGTGTCCAACTTATCTTAAATACTTTTATGTCGTTCTTACTGTGATACTGTTTCTAGTGTGTATGTATACTCGTATACTTTTTATAAACTACTTAGATTTTAAAAGTATACTGTTAGTTCAGAGCGCTTCAGCCCCTTAGCGTTTATAGTTGTATATCATGTAAGGTTTGATATACTTAGTTCACTATAAACAATGCTCTAATACCAATCTGTCACACCCCCAAACCGGAACGGCGGAAACGTTCGAGGGTGGAGGACGTCTTGTACAGTATCACAACACTTGCATAATATTAAATCAAGCAAACACAACCATTACATTAATAGAATATAGTATTTACATATGTTCATAACATAGTTTGTATGACAACAAAAGTATAACAAAAGTATAAACGACGCGACTCTAAAAGCTCCGTCTTGTCAAAATCCTGCGGGTGTACCTGTCTACTGGTTCCCTGAGAATACAAGTGATTTTGAATGTGTATCAACATTTAAGTTGGTGAGTTCATAAGTATGTTTTTGTAATGAAATCTTGTCTTTGATTCTATGAAAATGTTTATATGTTTCTCAAGAAAATCTAATACTTTCTTTAGTAGCGAAAAGTAGTCTTAAACCTTAAGACCAAAAGGTATGTTTGCTACTGTATTCTGAAATTGTATATGAATATCTTTGTAAGTATTCCTGGATACCACCAGCTGTTTTGAATAGTATTGTTTTGTATGAAAACTCTTGTGTGAAATACCTGGAGACCACCAGTAGTTAGGTATAGTAATGTACTGTATGAAAACCTTTATATGAAATCCCTGGATACCCCCAGTAATGTATAGTATTTTTCTGTATGAAAACCCTGGATACCACTTGTAATGTATAGTTGTTTTATTACTTAAAATAGAACCATGTGTTTGTACTCGCTGGAATCCTCCAGTTGTAGTGTATAGTGGTTCTATTAATTAAAAGAAAAATATTTGAAGAAATAATTTTCGTAAACGAATTGTTAGTTTATACTGTTGTGAGTTTCATATAACCATGCTAATATGACATAGTGGCCTCTACGACGTTCTTCAGGTGTCGGTAGTATGACATTTGTCACCCCCAGGCATGCCTGCCTAATTGTAGCTAGCAGTTTGGGTGTGGGATTGTCAGTCTCGTATAGATCTATACACAAACCTCACGCTCTCCATCCGGGAGACTCTGGTTATAATTTATAGGACTTGAACCTGTACCCGTGTGAGTACCCGAAGTAGTGCCTCACAACTCTGTATTAACTAGTTTACATGTTGTATTGTAGTGTTCTCTTGTACTTTGTAAATGTATGTATAACCTTGTGGTAACGAACCTTGTAATGTAAAATAATTATACTTAAATAGTTATTTAGTAATGCATCCCTAATACCCGGGAAAAGTAGTATTGTTTCCCATAAACTAAATCTATCATAGTTTATATGCTCGTTTCTGTATAAAGCTCTTGAGTTAGTGAAATCATGTACTGTATCCCAAACTATACCTATTATAGTTTGTATGTATGTTGTGCATTGTACTGGAAACTTTGCAATTATTGTTGTATTTTATAAACTACCCTTATGCTCAGCATGCTACAAAAGGGATAAAAA